CCTGGGATCCCACCCCCTATCCAACCCACCCTGCTCCCTGTCCCCTGACTGCTCCCACCCCTTATCCACCCCCTGACAGACCCCGGGACTCCCATGCCCCATCCAACCCCCCCTGCTCCCTGACTGCCTGCCCCCTCCAGAGACCCCCCGCCCCTAACCACCCTGCCCAGGATCCCACCCCCTATCCAACCCACCCTGCTCCCTGTCCCCTAACTGCCTCCATCCCTTATCCAACCCCCTGGCCCCGGACCCCTTACCATGAGGCTCCTAGCAGCATGTTCTGCTCCGCGCAGAACCAGACACGCTGCCCCGTGGGAGCGCGCAGCCCCGCCCCTCAGAGCGCTGCGCGTGCGGCGGCATGGCTCCAGGGGAGGGGAGAATGTGGGGGAGGGACTGGCGGCTTGCTGTGCTCAGCCGGGCGCTCCGGCCCGGAAGCGCGGACCCCGCGGCTTGCTGCGCTGGAAGAGTGGGGCCATTTGGTCACCCCTGCATTAAGGTGTGCCTGGGCACACCCGGTACACCCCGTGTGCCTGCCTATGCTTCTGCCCCCTGCCCCCGCGGGCGAGGGGGAGTGGAGAAGAGCGGGCCGGGCAGGATTTTTAATGGCACGCTGTTCCGGCGGCAGTGCTCAGGGGTTCCATCTGCCGGCTCCTGCCAGCCAGGATCCCGGCTGCCGGACCCGCTCAGCCCGCTGCCAGTCAGGGGTCCCGGCCCTGCCCACATACAGTGGGTACCTACCTTCTCCCTGGTTCTGCCCATTCTCTTCCTCTCTCTGCACTGAGCTGAGGGTGGGAGTGCACTGAGCACAGGGCTGGAGGTGAAGGGTCTGGCCAGGAGCTAGAATGAGGGAGGGGGCTCAGGGTTGGGGCAGGAGGTTTGGGTGTGGGGCACTTACCTGGGCAGCTCCCATTTGGTGCGAGGGGTGCAGATGGGAATGTGGGGGTGTGTGTGCAGGACCTCCCATTTGGTGCTCAGGGTGGGGGTGAGGATGTGTGGGGTACAAGAGTCAAGAGAGGGGGGAAGGCGGGGAAGGGGCCAGCGGCTTGCTGTGCTCGGCCGGGCACTCCAGCCCGGAAGCACAGACCCCGCGGCTTGCCGCGCCGGAAGAGTGGGGCCATTTGCCCACCCCTGCATTAGGGTGTGCCTGGGCACACCCCGTGCGCACGCCTATGCTCCTGCCCCCTTCCCCCGCGGGAGAGTGGGGGGCGGAGAAGAGCGGGCTGGACCGGGCCGGGCAGGGCAGGATTTTTAATGGCGCGCTGGTCCGGCAGGCAGCAGAATGCCATTAAAAATCAGCTCGCGTGCCGTCTTTGTCACGCATGCCATAAGTTACCGACCCCTGTTTTAGATTCTAGGAAGTAAATGACAGATTACAGTAGTTTATAATTGTCACAGGTTTTAAAAAAATACTGGCCATTTTTACCAGTTACTCATTTCATTTTAAAATCAATCAATGAAATGCACTTTATTTATAATAGATGGTAATACTAACGTCACCAAAACCACATGACAAATACAAGTTTTCTGAGAATTGGTGAGCAAAGATCTCATAGCTCTTCAGGGTTGGACAAAGCAGTAATTTCCCTTAAAGTAGCTTTATTCGTGGGTTTTTTTTAAACAAAAGACATCTCTAAGACACAGGAGGGCAGACTAACATTTTTGAAACACTGAGTACTGAACGTTAGGGTTTTTAACCAATTTAAGCTGTACACACACTGCTTAATTTGTGCAAGGGTTTGCCAAGGCTGAGTCCCAGCCCCTGTAGGCTTGGCAATTCATAGCCCTTGTACCTGTGGGCTTGCTGCGTCAGTTATGAAAGAAAAAAAATTGCTTGAGCCCTGGCACCTTTCATTACGAATTAAGCACTGATCTAGCGACATTTATTATTCTTTTTAGAGCCTCACCTCGTAGAGGCCCGTGAGTATGTGAGAATCTCAGCTATCATTAACAACAAATACAAGATACTAGCACTCATGGGAGAGGGGCAAAGCTGGACAACAGGAACCCTAAAAGCTCAAAAACCAGAAGGCAAATACAAAGAACCCCAATTGTCTTATATTTTAAAATCTCATGATTTTTAAGCCAATCTCGGGATATTTGGGGGCTTGCCGATGATTTTTTGAGTGCTTGGCATTAGCACTAGTAAGGGAATCACCTGCTTTTCAAGGCCATCCAGGATATATCCCTTTGAAAAATCAAGGACAAAGGTTATTGTTTGGAGACTTGGCACCATAAGCTGTTGTGTGGTAAGTCACAGGCACTGCTCGGAAACCAGGAAAGGTGTAATCCTGCCCCTTCCCCTATTGCAGTCAAGGGCAAACCCCACATTGATCAGCACAGACAGAGACAGGCTTCCCCCAAGCGCTGGAGCTGGTCAAACGCTTGATTGGCAGCAGAGTCCTAATGCACCACCTTGGTGCAGGACATAGGGCCCCAAAGGGCTCCCCTTAATACTGGCCTGGGGACGGAGTCAGCCCAGCTCCCCTCCCCGCTGACCCTTCCTGCGGCCCCGCCAGCCCCGTGTGGATCGGAACCAAGCACCGCGGGAGCTGTTTCCAGCGGGACAGACAGGCCGGGGAACGTGCTCGGCAGCGGCAGGAAGGAGGCTGCGGGATGGGGGCTGCAGGGACCCGAGCTGCCCCGGTCCCAGCTGAGCATCCGAAGCCCCGCCAGGCAGAGGGTGCAGGGCGAGGAGGAGCAGGGCAGGCAGGGGTGACCGTGCAGACGCTGCAGGGTGAGCGGGGGAGCGAGGCGGCGCAGGGGCTG